ATGGTTGATAAGGAGGGAAGGATAGGAGAAGGAGGCTTAGCAGTCTCCAAAACACCCCCTCTGACACCAGGTGCGGCAGCACCTGGGCGATCACCACCCTCTCCCTCACGGGATAGAAGTCGGCGTACAGGCGGTGCGCGTGATAGGCCTCCACTCTCAGATCAGCCTGGAAGGGAGGGGAATGACTGATGGGGTCAAGGAGGGAGAGGGAGAGCTTTGCATAAATCCAATTGTTACTGCTGAACATTTTTCTCACCCTCAGTCTCACCCTAAAATCCCACAGTCACTCTCAATCCCAGTCTCACCTGCTCTCTCATCGTGTGACTGAACTGCTCCAGCCCCGCACCCGATCCACCACCGCAGCCACCCCCGCCATCACCTCAAAGTCCTGCTTGATCCTCAACTCAACCCCACGCGCACCTCTCATCCTTGCTCTGTGTGCCTAGAACCCGCATTTCCCTGTGCGACCTCACTCTCTGATGCTCACCTGCTCTCTCATCGTGTGACTGAACTGCTCCAGGCTGTCCTGCAGCCGAATCCACTTGAGCCCCGCACACGGTCCACCACCGCAGCCACCCCCGCCATCACCTCAAAGTCCTGCTTGATCCTCAACCCCACGCGCGGATGCCGCACTTTCACCACCACCCACTCAGGCACGTGCGCACACGCGCCCCTCACTCTCGCCCGGTGCACCTGCGCTATGCTCCCCGACGCCAGAGCCCCCCTCTCAAACTCCTCAAACAGATCCTCCAACGGGCACCCGAGGTATTTCCGCACCGCGCGGCGGGTATGCGAGAAGGAGTGCGTGGGGGCCTGGTCTTGGAGGGACCCGAGGACGAGGCAGAGGGAGGGCGGGAGCAGGTCTTCTCTGGTGGAGGCCCACTGGCCCCATTTGATGAACGCTGCTCCCCCCCGGCGCAGGGCGAAGAGTAGCAGCTGGTGGATGGTGTCTCTGCACCGCTGCTTCATGGAAGGTTCCTTGAAAGAAGCATCCTGTGTGGTGGCTTGAGCTGACGCGACCTCGTTCGAAGGAGATTCCTTTGAAGAACCTTCCGTGGATTGATGTTGCCGAGCGACCACCACCACCACCCCCTTGCTCTCCCCTGTGTCTTCTCCTGCTTCTCCTTTCGCTTCGCCTGCCTGTGCGTCTGGCAGTAAGCGGTGCAGCAGCAGCAGGAGGGGGCCGAGGAGGAGGAGGGGGGAGAAGATGAGAGCGAGAAAGACAGCCCGAAGGAAGAGAGAAAAGGCCTGTTGCCAGCGTGACAGCAGCCAATCAGAGCGTGCCATGTGCCCCTGATGGGGTTGTGAGAGGTTGACGTTGCTGTTGAGGGGGGGTACGTGAGTGGCTGCGTCTATAGTCACATTGGGTAAGGGCACAGGGTCTGGCAAGCCTTGGCATTGGTGGCACTGTCTTGCTAAGGGAACTGTGCTGTTGCTCGTGTTGTTACCGCTGCTGCTGTTTACGCAGCGCCCCAAAAATGAAGAAATTGAACTGCTTCTCTTCTTGCTGCCGCTGCTACCACTGCTGCTGCTGCTGCTGCTGCTGCTGCTGCTGCTGCTGCTGCTGCTGCTGCTGCTGCTGCTGCTGCTGCTGCTGCGAGTGCTACTAGTCCCGCTGCTGCTCATGTTGTAGCTCCTGGGGGGCTGCTGCGGCTGGTGGGGCTGCTGCTGTGGGGCTACTACTGGCGCTGCTGGTGTCCGAACCAGTCCAGGAGCTGCCGTCGTTGATGATCAGGTCAGTGCTGCTGTCCAAACTGCTGCTCCTGCTGCTGATTCTGCTGCTGTTGCCGCTGCTCATGCCACTCCCTTTCTCCACCCTCTCCTCCCCAATCTCCTCTCTCCCCGCCCGACTACCTGCCCCGCTTCCCCTTTCTCCGTTTCCTTTTGTTGTGGTGTACGAGAAGGGAAGGGCGAGGAGAGGGGAAAGGAGAGGGTAACGAGACTGTGAGTGGAAGGCCAGGGGTGGGGTGATGGGAGAAATTGGGAAGGGAAGGGGAAGGATGGTCCTGCTGCTGCTGCTGATGATACCAATGATGGAGGGAGGACGGGAGTTGGCATGATGTACGGGGCGGCGCTGTTTGTCCTGTAGTGCAGCAGAGTGGCGGCCTCTGTCAGGTCCAAGACGCCACCAGCCTGTGGCATGCTGCCACGTGGCAAAGGGAGAGGTGGAGGAGGAGAGTGAGGTGAGAGAAGAAGCATGAGAGCTGGAGGAGAGATGGAGTGAGACGAACGAAGAGATTTATTAGTCATGCGCATGCCATACGAATAGCTCCCCTCCCACTCAAGATATTGTCAGACATGGACAGGTGTTATGTTACACATGAAGCATGGACACATCCACAACACCCATTCCCTGTACCCTCATATGGTGGATAAACCATCAACGGAGCTCTAGGCTACTCACTCATGGTACGTCTTGGCCACTCCCATCCATGCTCTCCTATGCGCCCTCCTCCACGCCACCCAGCTCCTACGAACACTCCCAAGTCTTGATCCCACCCCGACCATCCCATCACCCAAACTCTCACAACAGCCCATCACAAGCCACTCACTCGTGGTATGTCTTGATCAGCTTCGCCACTCGGCTTGCTGCCCTTCTATGCGCCCTCCTCCACGCCGCCTCGCCCTCCCTCCCACACGCCCCTGCTGGGCCCTTCCCCACGCGCACCCGCACTCGCTCATACTCCACGGCTATTGGGAGAGATGCTCCGAGACAGACCAGCGTGTGCTGTTGGGGAGAGGGAAGGGAGGGAGTGGATGCGAAACAAGGGAATATGAGCTTCCACACGCCCCTGCTGGGCCCTTCCCCACGCGCACCCGCACTCGCTCATGCTCCACGGCTATTGGCAGGGACGCGCCCAAGCAGACCAGCGTGTGCTGTAGCGAAAAGAGAGGGAAAGAGTGGGTGGGAGAATGAGTTGCAGTTTCCCTCCTGCACCTGCGCCTGTACCGGCACCTGCACATGCGCACTCGCTCATACTTCACGGATATTGGCAGAAATGCTCCCAGACAGACTGGCATGTGCTGTAGGGGCAAGGGACAGAAGGGACGGAAGGGAGGGAGTGCATGGGGAGCAAGAAGGAGGGATGATGAACAGTTCAACACGCACACCCGCACTCGCTCGTACTCCACGGCTATTGGCAAGGGCGAGGACGAGCCTAGACAGACTAGCTGTGTGGGAGAGGAGGGGAGAGTTGACACGGCACGTCCCTTGCAGGGCTCAGGATAGCAGGGCGTTTTACCCTGTTTGCTCTTCATTTCAGGGTGAAAATTTTGGACCCACACTGCTAGAATTGGGTTTGGCTGGGTGTCCACTCTGTCATCGTCAGGCAGGGCTGAAAATACACCCTGCAAATGATGTTTTACGCTTATGTGCAACACTACCTTTTCCCGGCTGGTTACGGCAGACACCCTGCCAACTTTTCCTCTTTTGTTGAACTTTACTAACTGCGCGGCTATTCCTCTAAGTAGCGTTTGTGCGTGAAAGCTCCAGAATCGGATAAGTACTTGAAACACCAGGGATTCAGCTCTAGCACGATGAGTGGCGTTTGTGACTGAAATGTGTCCAGTAGCGTTTGTAACTGAAATTCCAGAATCGGCTAAGTACTTTCAACACCATAGATTCAGCTCCAGCACAAAGAGTGGCGCGTTTTAGTAGTGACCGCATCTAGAAGACCCACTGACAGGCCTCTCATCTCCCCACCTACACCACTAAAACCTCAACCACCACACACTTACGCATAGTGTCGACCACTTAGAATCGAGCCAGGAAGACCCAGTTCGACAAGATTTTATGGCTACGAGGAATCATCGATATGGCAGGATCGACTTCTAGACCTAAAAGTTTTAGCTAGGCAGTGTTTTTGGATTTCTCACCCTGCCAGATTCGACCTCGAAAAAAAAATCACACTGCCATTTCTTGGGTACGACCGCCAAGGCACACTGCAGAGGCAGGGTGTAACGTGTCACAACTCGGATCAGGCAGCGTGCGCCAAAATGAATCGAGAGCCCTGGTCCCTTGGTTTCGAGACGTTCCATACCACAACCACACGTTCAACACTAGAGTTACCTTGCCACCATTCTCTTTATGATTGTCCTAACCTAATCATTGCTGCAACCGACTACTTGTAGTGAGGCGTCCCATAACGCGTCCAACTCACATGTAAGCTTGGAGCCAGTTTCTTGAATATGGCCCCGCCCACTGCTACCGCCACTGCTGCCCTCCCAAACACGCCTCCACCTCCCCCGCCTCCCCCAATCTCTCCCCATCCTTCCCCCTCCGCCTCCCCTGGAGCATGCAGGCGCAGGTTCCTTTCCCATCCATGCTCCACGTCAGCATCAGCAGCCACGTCACGCATGATGCCAGATGGCGCACTAACGGCATCATCACAATCATCTCCAATATAATTAGAATTAATATCATTAGAGTAATCATCATTGCCGTCATCGATATACGCATTCTCCTCCCCACTAATTTCCATTTCGCCCCCATTCCAAAAGTCTTCCCCCCCATCCTCCTCCCCGTCTCCCAAATTCCCATCATCATCCCCATCAGCATCCCCCATCCCCATCCCTCCCCCTTCCCCGCTCAGGCTACTTTCCCCCTTCCCCCCGCATGTGCTGCTGGCCAGGCGCGGGCGCAAGCGGGGGCGGAGTGAGAGGAGGCGGGAGAGGGGGGCGAGGGCGCGGGAGAGGGGGGAGAGGAGGCGGCCGAGAGGAGAGAGGAGGGGCGAGGAGAAGAGAAGGTGGAGAACGGCTAGAGTGGGAGTTGCGACAGAAAAGGACGCTGGGAATAAGGCCTGCTTGGGAAGGGGTTGGGGGGAGGGGGAGAGAATGGGGTGTGAGGGGACGAATGGGGGAGGACAAATGTAAGAACGGGAGGGGGTTTGGGAAGGCAGGGAGGGGATGAGGGTCGTCAGGTAGTGAGAGAGCGTTGGTGACGACTCAATCCAAATAAAAGCATGAACAGGTGGCATTGAACACGTGGCAGAAAAAACAGTCTGTCTGTGTTGGAAGAGTTGCACACATGGCACGTGTAGAAGATAGTCAATTTGCAGTTTAGCTTGCTTTACATACCTGCAGACGAGAAGCAGCACCGCAGCGTTTCCTGTCTGCAACAGCTTTGCAACGGCTGACGGTATCACTGGTGCTGACGTTGAAGACGTTAATAACGAGGATGATACTAACGAGGATGATTCTGATGCTGGTAACGAGTATGGCGATGACGGGGATTGCGTTGGCACTCTCGAGAATCTTCTTTGTCTACGGTGCGCATGATTGCGCAAGGATGACCGTCCGATTCCAGTAGCACATCCCACCGCCACTTGCACCACGTGCAGAGTCACATGCTGCCAAGAGATGCCGCCCAGTCCACCTGGACCCATCCCCAGCCGCAGCGGCAGCCACACGTGCGCCTTCCCATTCCCCCTCGTAGCGGGGGAAGCGCACGGCGTGGGGTAGAGACGGGCGCGGGGTGGGGGAATGCGCGCGGCTCTTGACGTAACCCGGCTGTGGGTGGCGGAAAGCGGGTGACCTGTGACTGGCCGCAGGCACGCGGACCAGTCGGGGGAAAGAGATGCCTGTATGGCGGGGGGGTGGGAAGGGGGAAAAGAGGAGGGGACACAGTCGCAACATGTCGCATGTTAAGCCCCGTCGCAGAGTGGCCCAGTCGCACGTCGTCGCAATTTACGACGTGCGACCAGTCCCACAACCACCAGAGTGCGAACCACCGAGAGACTTGCACTGGAACACACCTTGGAGTCTCTTTCCTGAGAGAACGACATGGCGCCTTCTAGTAACGCGTACGTCCGTCGTCGAATTCGCCGAGCCCTCGGAAAGCTTGAGCTGGTCAGGAAGTAACGACTCAGACCATAGCTCCGCTTCGCCTCGCGCCGCTTCTCGCTTACCCGCACTAAGGCGTAGTGGAGGCGAATAAAAACAGTGATCAGACGCCTACAGAAAATTTAGCAGAATCGACGGACTGCGAGCGATCCAGTTATCACCTCCGCTCGCCAGTAGTAACATTCCGTACGTCCACATTACCAAGGCGTTTTACTAATCCAACGGCCATCGCTACTTTCTGTGGCGCTGCAAGGCCCAACCTCGCACACTACCCTCTCACAAACAGTACTTGCAGACCACTTTCCTAACTGCACGAGTAGCAGCGTAACATACAGGAGTCGCATATGCAGTACCAGCTGCCTCTCAAGACATTACATGTTCACACTAATCAATCTTGTGCCAAACGATGATGATCCACTCCAGCCAACTTTGTGGCGGAGATACCAGCGAGGAGGTGTTACAAGAACCAACGGTCAGATTTTCAGGAAATCCCCAAATGCCCTGACCTGAAGTGTGTGGTGTCGGTTCTCCGCCCAGCCTTGGGGAATTCTGGGCGCTAGTCGGAGTTCCTGAGGTCCGTGAACTCCAACCACTCACTTGTCCGAAGGCCAGAGATGCTCCACTTGTCACGCCCTCGAAACATGAACAAAGCCAGAAGTGAAGCACTACATAGTCGAAGACAGTTTAAACACAAGTGCATATGTCTTACCTAATCACACTGCTACACCTGTACACAACTGTACACCTCTGGCTTGTCACACCCCATCCACATATAGCATCATGCAGGCTAATGCTTCAAACAATTGAAACTAACAAACTTGGTCCGTTCTCCAAATACATGGAGTGTAGCCAAGTGAAAGAAACCCCCAAAAACAAACCAATTATATTACAAGCCACTTCTATTACAAATAGACGACTTCCTTCCAAATGTGGTCAAAACTTAAGTGTACTTGCACGCAACTTTCCTAGCCCTGACACATTGGCCTACTGCATCCCATCTCTTCATGCTATGCGGCTTGTACTGGTTATACGCATCGGGCTTGATACACTCCGTCCACGCGTTGCATCTTGCAGGCTTGTGCTGCAAGTAGTTGGCAAATGAGTAGCTTGGCCCGTTTCCCAAGTCCAGGTTGTATAGGCGGGTTGTGAAGCCATGTGCATTGTTGTCAGCACACATCGCCTGCGTGAGGTAAGGATCGGGAAACTGTCATCGGTAAGAAGTGGGGTGGTGATTAGGATCATTTATGACTGCACTTGATTGATTGCCAGTATTGGTGTGTTGATGGTGCTAGCTTATAATGCAGCAGCACGGAAAGGAGTGGGATTCAAGCTACTCTCAAGCAACACAACCAGCCTGTGATAACCATATTCCATCCGAGTGGAAAGCGCATGTTGCTCCAGACACTATGCGAGGAACACCATATGGTCGACAAACTGATTGGTGCACCCGCAGCCACACATGCTTCTCTGGTACCTTCCACTCCCCACCATGTAATAGTTCCACTCTTCCCCCAAATCTTCTCCCGATTCCTGAAGCCCCCCCTGAGGTGCTCCAGCTATCCCTGTACTAAGCCACAATCACCGTCAAAACATAGTACCATACCACTACCCACCCTTCGGTCGGCTGATTGCACTCTTCCTTCACTCCATGAATCATCCCAACTCACCTGTGGGTATCAAATGTCGTTCTTCACCACCACGGAAGTGCCCCAGCACTCCACATACCCAGCCAAAGACAGTGCCTTGTTGCAAAGAATGAACTCATTGGAATAGACGCAGCCGCCTTTAACATTCCTCTCCACTCTCCACTGCACCAATTCATGCACACCCTATCCCCCACACCCCACCCCCCCGCCCCCCCCCCCCCCCAAAAAAAAAAAAAAAAAATCACCTGTGGGAATCGAATGCCGTTTTGCACTCCTGCCGAATTGCCCCAGCTCTCCACATACTCAGCCACAAACACCGCCTTGTTGCGAACAATAAACTCCTTGGCATAGTTGCACCCATACCTGCCGCTGTACCACTCTCCACCACTCCAATCCGTGTACTGGTTGCACTCTTTAACAAGCGCCCAATCAAACAGGCCAGCCATGTGGGAGGGTGCGAGGGGGCCTGGGTTCTTGAGACCCACTGACATGCCGTACCTGATGAGGGGGGTGGGGTTAGGGGAGGAGAAAATATTGTTAAGTCGGAACGCTGGAGTTTTTGAAACCCAGTGACATAACAACTTCAGGCAGGGAGAAGAAAGGCGTGGTAAATTGGGACGGGGGAGAAAGGGGGGACGGAGGGAGGGGGTTGGGGAGGGGGAGGGGAGGGGTGGGGAGGGGGGTCGGGTAGGGTGGAGGGGGTGGTTTGTGTGGACTGGGGTTTCTCAGGCCCGCTGACATGCTGTATCAGATAAGCATAGGGGGTTGGAAGGGAGGTGCTTGAGAAAAAGGAGAGAAGATGGATGAAGCAAATGAATGAATGGCAGAGCTTTGAGACGATGGGAGGGACAGAAAGGGCCATTGTTCATAAGACCAACTTATGTGAAGCTGAAAAGAAAGGAGAGGTGGTTTAGGGTTTAAGATTTCAGGTTTAACATGAGCATGACAAAACCCCTTACTATGACTCGAAACCAAAGCATTAGGGAAAAACTCAGAGATTGGGCTTAAATTTTGGTGCCGATCTACCGTGCCATCCACACAGTAAAAGAAAACGTAACGAGAATTGTCCACATGGGTTCGAAAGGTGAATGCAACAGTGGGTGAACTCACTTGTGTACTGTATTCGCAATCCACGAGTTGAAGTTGAACTGGTCCTTTTTCGTGATGGTGAAATGGCTAATGGCGTTCACCATGATGTTCCCATTGTATGAATGCACATTGTCCGGCTCGATACCGTCACACCCCTTGCTGTTGGCCAGCTGTCAAAGGGCCAGGAAAAGAGACCACAGGCAGTCGATGGGGGAAACCAGGACTTAGACCACGAAAACGGCTGACGCAACACCCTGAGCTACGCGTGTGTGATGCACAATCCGCACAAGAAGCTGTTTGGCACTCCTCTTACTTGAATCCGCTTTTCTAGTATTTGACGCACGGCAGTCGTCTTCACGTCCAGCCAACGCTCGCCTTGCCATGCTTCCGAGCAGTCCTCGTTCTGCCAACAAAAAAAACAGAATTGAAGGTAAACGATGAAGGGCTCATGTTAGAAACCGAAGCTCGTTATGCCAGCTCCTGAACGAGTGATCGAGCTCCTGACATAAATCTTGCAGAAGTTTTCAAATATGTAGAAGGATCCTTGCATTCCGACTCACCTGACAAACCATCCCACCGAGAGTGGATCACGGGAACTGGTTGTAGTCGCTGCGATAATTCTCGGCAGTCCCGAAGCTGAAGTAGCAGATGTTGAACTATATTTATATATGTTCTTTATAATTGCCTGCAGTGTAGAGTGTAGCACATCCCAATTTGCTGTAGGTGGTGCATCATGCTTCTCCTTGCTATATCTTGTACTCATCCTTCTTAGTGAAGCACTTTTTCTCTTCCTAAACTCTCTCGACATTCCTCTTGAACCCTAAAAAACCTAAGCTCCTAAGCCACTCTAGCCATGGCTCCTAAGCCCAACTAGCTTAGTATCTTGACAGCAGATTACCTTCTTTCCCATCGTTTTCAACCTCGATAAAGTGCTCGCCGACACGCTGAACCCGTCAATATCAAATATCTTTTCATTATGCGACGATGCTTCGAGGTTCGTGTCAGAGATCTGCCAGTAGAAGGACGTTCCCGGCGGGGAAACGTACCATCCGTTTCTCGTGACGTTAACAGCGAGGCAAACTGTGATGAATGTCAGAGAGACGACCACGCGAAAGAGTCTTGCGATTATAGACATGGCGGTAGAGTTTCGGTGTTTGAGAGGTCAAGAGGCGGCACTACGTCGCGTGAAGTGAGTCTTTGTCAGGTAATGTGTAAGGAGGCGGAAAGAGTTAGTACTTTGTCTTTGCCACGGCCAATGCATCTGATTATAAGCGATCATCTGGCGCTCCAGCGCTTCGGCTTGTGTGCCTGCCGAACCGCAGCGGGGAACATCGATACTGTGAAAGCCACTCGTTGCACTAAAGGAACCTTCATGGCTTGCATAAACCAACAAACCCTTTCTCCGGTCCTCATGCCACGTGGCGAGGCGCATTGTTCCTCTGATAACGACGCTCCAGTGAACATGTTCTGGCTTCGCGTTGAAAAAAATCACGTGAATGGGAAGAAAATTATTGGTGCTTGGTTCACGGAGGAAGCCGAAAAGCAAGGCGCAAGCAGAAGCGTCGTTGCTGCAGCAGGAGCCTCGTCTGCATGGGTGCGACGTCGCTCCTCCTGCCTGCACCTTGCTCTCGCTTTCCTGTTGCAGCTTGTGATGTGGGGGTGTTGAAAAAATGAAATGTGGAGACTCCAAGGGCGAATAGCCAGCCGTTACGGTCTGACAATAGAAATTCATACGCGGTTGTACAAGTGTTATCGTTTATATTCCGACGTATCAACATCGCCGCGCGCGGACTATGTGGAAAACCCTTCAAACACCAGGCAAAACGCGATACTTGTAGTCCCGTTCAGGAAATTTGCATGAAGAGTGGTTGTTTTGCTACTAGTTTCTGGAGTTTGACATTTACGTAGATTTGGACCGCGCTTGCTTCAACTTCCAGACGCACGGTTTTCCACGCTGATCTATGCCGCATGACTAACGGTCAAAACACAACAAAATCAACTATGGTTTGGGGTCGAATAGTAACTCAAAGACTTTGTTTCTACCCTGTAAGCGAGATAAATGAGATGTCATCGTCGATCGCGCTGGAGACAGTGCGACAGGATTGAGAAGTACTCGCGGTCAAGAGAAACAACTACGTACAATAAAAACATTAAAATATTGAATCGATGATCCCTTCTTCTGTTGAGATGAGTGACAGAATCAGGAGCCATAGCTAGGTAAGCCATAGCTAGGTAAGCCCTAGCTAGGCAAGAGAAGTTTAGGCAAAAAGAGGGGTTTTCACTAGCAGCAATGGAGATACATATAGCAAACCCTAGCTGGGTTGTACCTGCTATAGAGCACCCCACTACAGGCTAGACAATAACATTCTGACACACCCCCATAGCCAAAGTGGGGTGTAATCAGCACAATGAGCAAGCAGGTATAGAACAGGAGTTCACAATAGTAAGCAAAGCTAGAGTTAATCACAGCGGGCAAGTGAGGAGGAGGAGGAGGAACTATGGAGGGAGAGAAGATGGGAGGCAACGACTGAAGCTACAGAGGCACGGGCACAGGAGCGGCTGACTCAGTGGCTACCGAAGCAAGGGCGACGGACTACTGGAGTGACTGGCTCCGCGGCTATAGACGAGCGGCAGGAGCAACGGACCCACTCACGACTGGTGCAGCAGGCTCACTGGCTACCGAAGCAAGGGCGACGGACTACAGGCGCTGCAGGCAACACGACGGCTACCTTCACACAGCCTCCTCCAACTCCCCCTCACCCTCGACACACACCCCCTGCTCAAACCCTAGCTCCACTCCCACAGCACCCCCCTTAAACCCTAAACCCCGGGCTCCCACACATCCACCCCCCTCAGCGACAGCTGCAGTAGTGGGAGACAAAGGAGGAGGAGGAGTAGGGGACGGCGAACACAACCGACACCCCCACAACCGCCACCCCCACACCCCTCACCCCCAAACCCTAAAACGGGTGGGACGGGGCAGGAGCGCGGGGGACGGCGAGGGGGGACGACGCGCGACCCCCAGGGCGCCAAAACAGACGGGCGGGACGAGGAAGGTGGCGCGCGCGGCTCCCCAGGGCGCCGCGACGGACGTGCGGCGGGCGCGCGCGGCTCCCCAGGGCGCCACGACGAGCAGGGCGGGGGCCGCGTGTCCCCACAGGGCGCTGCGACGAGCAGGGCGGGGGGGCGCGCGTCCCCCCAGGGCGCCGCGACGAGCAGGGCGGGGGGCCGCGCGTCCCCCCAGGGCGTCACGACGAGCAGGGCAGGGGCCGCGCGTCCCCCGCGCACCTCGGGGCGCACGGCAGGAAGGCGTTGCACGCCACGGGGCGTGCAACAGACAGAGTAGCAGCGGAAGAAGGTGGGCCCATAGGCCAGGAGCGTTTCTGCTCTGATAGCATGTTGAGATGAGTGATAGAATCAGGAGCCATAGCTAGGTAAGCCCTAGCTAGGCAAGAGAAGTTTAGGCAAAAAGAGGGGTTTTCACTAGTAGCAATGGAGATACATATAGCAAACCCTAGCTGGGTTGTACCCGCTAAAGAGCACCCCACTACAGGCTAGACAAAAACATTCAGACATCTTCATCGTTTTCCTTGAATTTTGAGCTGGTTTTATCTGGAGCCTCTTATTGGCTGCGGAGCTGATTCGTACAATAATTGGGTCAAGCTGCAAAATTTCCCGCCAAAAACGGGACTATAGGGGTCGGGCCAACCCTAGGCGATATTGGAAAATTCTACTCAGGGGGGAAAAGGGACTCTCTCAGCGAGGGCCTCTAGCCCGGAACATCTGTAATACATTATTTTGCATACGAATCATTCAACAAACACTCCTATAGCGGATGAATGTAATCCCCACCCACCCCCACCCCATCTCCCTCAGGTTGGTTTTCATCGAGAAGAAATTTGTTGGTCACCAGATTTCTTGCGTCGCCGCCTCAGGGTTTAGTAAATCTGCTGCGTGTAACACACTCCTACAAGCTGCTCGCGAAAAGTGAAGGATTCAACTTTGCGAACAAATTGCCCAAGCAATACAATTGCGACCTCGTCGAGCGAGATCCCGCGAGCCGGTTACTCTGGCGAGAAACAACTTGCATCGGGAAGCCCACGTTCCACACCCTGACGAACGAAAGCGATCTGCCTGTTATTTATCCTAAGTCGAAGTCCAGCCGAGAGTCCGAAATTCAACAGACGTAGCTTTTCTTGGATAGTTTACGTGAAACTCGCTTTTTCTTTGCCACGTCGCATGACGTTACTTAACTTAGGAAGCATGACTTACGCTCCCATGCGACTCGTTCCATACGACGGCACACTCCAGAACTTATATTTCTCATGGATTGTACCGTAGATGTTTCAGAAAGAAACCAGATCACTACCGCGCTGACAGCAGTCTGCTAAGCTGATACGATTGCTCCGAAACAACCACTACGGCTTTAATCTGCTTCCATCCTAGCATCCTCGCCCTCCTTGCCGTTCTTTTAATGTGCCATTGGGGGAGAGCTAACGGTGTCGAAGTTATATGCTATAGTCTTTCTAGGCTGTAGTGGGGTAGAGAGTATGGGTTACAACTTTCCACGGCAGAAATGAGGAATAACAGGGCCCTGAGATCGAGTCGCCCCTGACCGAGGCGCGCCCTCCCCTTAGCGGCCCGTCACGCCGCCCTTACCGGCCCCACTCACGGCCCCGTCGCCACCCTTGGTGGCCCCGTCGCCGCCCCTTGCGGCCCGGCCACCCTCTCGCGGCCCCGTTGCCGCCGTCACGGCCCACCCGCCGCCCTTCGCGGCCGCGTCGCCACCCTTTCACGGCCCCGTCACCGCCCTCTAGCGGCCCCGCCGCCGCCCTTCAGCGGCCCCATCGCCGCCCTACCGCGGCCCCGTCGCCGCCCTCTAGCGGCCCCGCCGCCGCCCTTCAACGGCCCCGTCGCCGCCCTACCGCGGCCCCGTCGCCGCCCTCTAGCGGCCTCGCCGCCGCCCTTTAGCGGCCCCGTCGCCGCCCTACAGCGGCCCCGTCGCCGCCCCCTAGCGGCCCCGCCGCCGCCCTTCAGCGGCCCCGTCGCCGCCCTACCGCGGCCGCGTCGCCGCCCTTTCATGGCCCCGCTGCCGCCCTCTAGCGGCCCCGCCGCCGCCCTTCAGCGGCCCCGTCGCCGCCCTACCGCGGCCCCGTCGCCGCCCTCTAGCGGCCCCGCCGCCGCCCTTCAGCGGCCCCGTCACCGCCCTACCACGGCCTCGCCGCCCGCCTTTGCAGCGGCCCCGTCGCGGCACTTCCGCGGCCCCGACGCCGCCCTTCCGCGGCTCCGTCGCCGCCCCTCCGCGGCCCCGACGTCGCCCTTCCACGGCCCCATCGCAGCCCTCCAGCGGCCCCGTCGCCGCCCGTCCGCGGCCCCGTCGCCCGTCCGCGGCCCAGTCGCCCGCCCTTAGTTGTTGAGCTTATCGACTTCGCTGCTCGCTGTCGTCTAGACTACGCTGCTAGTCTTGTCGCTGAGTCTGAGTCTGTCTGTCCTCCGTCCGTCGGGGGTGAGTGTGCCCTTGGCACGGACGTCCTTGAGGACACGCAGGAGGAGTTCCAGTGCTTTGCTGCTGCTTCACCTCATCTCGTGTCCATGCAACTTGCCCCTGAGGAGACCCGGATGCACCAGACATCCCGACTCCACGCTCTTACGCGGAGGCGATAGAGGGTCCTTACTCCTCTCAGTGGCAGGAAGCCATGGAAGTCCACAGGCACCTACGTCGACGAGGTTCCCCCACCTGGGGCGAACATCGTCAGTGGCATGTGGATTTTCAGGGTGAAGCGGCTGCCAAGTTCTCCGCCTGTCTTCAAGGCGCGGTACGTGGCTCGAGGCTTCAGTCAGCGGCAGGGAGTTGACTACTTTCAGACCTTCTCTCCCACCCCGAAGATGACCACTCTTTGGGTGCTGCTGCACATAGCCGCTCAGCGTGACTAGGAGCTTCACTCTTTTGACTTCAGCAGTGCTTTCCTACAGGGCAGCCTACACGAGGAGATCTGGCTGCGCCGCCCACCTGGCTTCACTGGGTCTTTTCCTCCTCGCACCCAGTGGAGCCTCCGACGGCCAGTCTACGGTCTCCGCCAGGCACCTCGTGAGTGGCACGACACACTGAGGACTGCACTTGCGGCTCTTGGGTTTGCTCCGTCTACTGCCGACCCGTCGCTGTTTCTGCGCACCGACACCTCTTTGCCGCCGTTCTACATCCTCGTGTACGGCGACGACTTGGTCTTTGCCACAGCTGACACTGCTGGACTCGCCCACGTGAAGTCCGAGCTGCAGAAGAGACACACGTGCACAGACCTGGGTGAACTGCGCAGCTACCTTGGCTTGCAGATCACTTGGGACAGAGCACAGCGCACCATTACCCTGACTCAATCACACATGGTGCAGCAGGTCCTTCAGCGCTTCGACTTTACGTACTCCTCGCCTTAGGCCACTCCTCTGTCTACTCGCCACTCGCTCTCAGCTCTGCCTTCGGATGAGTCCGTAGAGCCGAGTGGCCCGTACCCAGAGCTTGTTGGCTGCCTCATATACCTAATGACCTGCACTCGACCTGACCTTGCATACCCTCTTAGCATCTTGGCACGCTATGTTGCTCCTGGGAGACACCGACTAGAGCACATGGCTGCAGCGAAGAGGGTGTTGCGCTACTTGCGCAGTACGTTGGGCATGGGGCTAGTGCTTGGAGGGCGGAGTCCAGTGGTCCTCACTGGTCACGCAGACGCGTCTTGGGTTGATGACTTGGCTACGCAGCGATCGTCACAGGGTTACACCTTCAGCCTTGGTTCCGGTTCTGTTTCGTGGCGGTCTACCCGCTCTTCTTCTGTTCTCTACTCCAGCTATGAGGCTGAGATCTACGCGGGGGCCATGGCTGCACAAGAGTTACGCTAGCTCACCTACCTGCTGACTGACCTCGGAGAGCCGCCTCGTTCTCCTCCAGTTCTGTACATAGACAACAAGGCCATGCTGGCCTTGTGTCGGGAGCACAGACTGGAGCACAGAATGAAGCACATTGCTCTTCGCTACTTTCTTGCTCGTGAGCTGTAGCAGCGTGGTCAGCTACGACTTGCTTACGTGGCCTCTCAAGCCAACAGGCGAGCAGATATCTTCACCAAGGCACTCGCGCCTTTGTCAGAATGAGAAACGAGAATGAATGGTGACTAGCAGGAACAACAGTACAAATATGTCAAACCCCAATTTGGTGTACCCCTTATGGTGTGACCCACTACAGCCTAGAACCACACAAACATATAATGTTTGACACACCCCCATAGGCAAAGTGGGGGAGACCTAGGGGTCACAAGACCAGTCAAGGCAAAACAAGGCAAACAAGCTCAGGGTGGATCTCGAGGATTCCACACAAATTCCGAGCACAAGCAAGCGGTCACAAGACCAGTTCACATGCCGTTTTATAATAGAGCAAGAGGTACAATGATCACCACCTAACAAGGCAAACATGCAGGTATATATATAATGATCACAGTACAGGTAAAGTCAAGAAGTAAGTAAGTGAGAAACAGTCGGCACAAGGCCTAGAAGAGTGCAAAAACGCTGATGGTCAACAGGCGGAAGCGCCTTGGTGAACACATCAGCAATGTTGGCCTCAGTGGCCACGTAACGCAGAAGAAGCTGACCACGCTGCTGTAGCTCTCGAGCTAGAAAGTAACGTAGAGCAATGTGCTTCGTCTTGTGCTCCAGTCTGTGCTCCTGGCACAAGGCGATGGTTGCCTTGTTGTCGACGTACAGTACTGGAGGAGAACGAGGCTGCTCTCCAAGGTCAGTCAGCAGGTAGGTGAGCCAGCGAAGCTCCTGGGCAGCCATGGCCGTGGCGTAGATCTCAGCCTCACAGCTGGAGCTGAGAACAGAAGAAGAACGAGAAGAACGCCAAGAGACAGAGCCAGAGCCAAGACTGAAGGTGTAACCCTGAGACGACCGCTGAGTAGCCTGGTCGTCTGCCCAAGAAGCGTCTGAGTGCCCAGTGAGAACAGGCCGGTCTCGCCCTCCAAGCACTAGCCCCATGCCCGACGTACTGCACAAGTAGCGCAACACCCTCTTAGCTGCATCCATGTGCTCCTTCCGGTGACGGCCGGGAGCAACATAGCGTGCTAAGATGCTGAGAGGGTATGCTAGGTCAGGTCGAGTGCAGGTCATCAGGTACATGAGGCAGCCCACAAGCTCTGGATACGGACCACTCGACTCTACGGACTCATCCGAAGGCAGAGCTGAGAGCGAGTGACCCGTAGGCAGAGGAGTGGACTGAGGCGAGGAGTACGTGAAGCCGAAGCGCTGAAGGACCTGCTGCACCATGTGTAACTGAGTCAGGGTAATGGTGCGGCGTGCTCTGTCCCGGGTGATTCGCAAGCCAAGATAGCTTGTCAGTTCACCCAGGTCTGTGCACGTGTGTCTCTTCTGCAGCTCGGACTTCACGTGGGCGAGTGCGGCAGTGTCCGCAGTGGCAAAGACCAAGTCGTCGACGTACACGAGGATGTAGAACGGCGGCAGCGAGGTGTCGGTGCGCAGAAACAGCGACGGGTCAGCAGTAGAAGGAGCAAACCCAAGAGCCGCAAGTGTAGTCCTCAGTGTGTCGTGCCACTCACGCGGCGCCTGGCGGAGACCGTAGACTGGCCGCCGGAGGCTCCACTGGGTGCCAGGAGGGAACGACCCAGTGAAGCCAGGTGGGCGGCGCAGCCAGATCTCCTCGTGCAGGCTGCCCTGCAAGAAAGCTGTGCTGAAGTCAAGAGAGTGGAGCTCGTAGTCACGCTGAGCGGCGACGTGTAGCAGAACCCGAAGAGTGGTCATCCTCGAGGTCGGGGAGAAGGTCTGGAAGAAGTCAACTCCCTCTCGCTGACTGAAGCCTCGTGCAACGTAACGCGCCTTGAAGACAGGCGGAGAGCCCGGCGGCCGCTTCACCCTGAAAATCCACATGCCACTGACGATGTTCGCCCCAGGTGGGGGAACCTCGTCGACGTAGGTGCCTGTGGACTTCCAGGAAGCCATCTCTGTGTCCATGGCTGACTGCCACTGAGAGGAGTAGGGACCGGCCATCGCCTCTGCGCAAGAGCGTGGGGTCGGGATGTCTGGTGCATCCGGGTCTCCCTCAGGGGCAACAAGCATGGACACGAGATGGGGCAAAGCAGCGGCAAGGCAACCAAACTCCTCCTGCCTGTCCTCAAGGACGTCCGTGCCAAGAGCACACTCACCCCCGACGGACGGAGGACAGGCAGACTCAGACTCAGCAACAAGACTCGCAACGTAGTCTAGACGACACGCAGCTGCAAAGTCAACAAGCTCAGTGACTAAGGCAGACGCAGCAGCGGACTCAAAGGAAGGGTCAGTGACAACCGTAGCCAGGAGACGTGTGACAGTAGGACTGGCAGCGCGAAGGGAGTCTGACTCCGGGTCAGCAAGAGCAGGAAGAGAGGACGCAGGAGGCGACAGGAGAGCAACACGCTGCGGAGCAGTGGACTGACGAAGCGCCATCCGGTGCGTGCCTGGGACAGCAGGAGGACGCTCACGCGGGACACGACTACCAGTGGTGGCAGCTCGAACAGGCGACGCTCGACGAGACGCAGGTGACACAGGACGTGACGCAGGCTCACATCTCTCAGCAAGACCGTCACTTGGACCAGTGTAAGGAGCAGGCACAGGGAGTGGGGAGGCAGGCGGTAACTGTGGCTGTGACTGGACTGACGGCGGACACTCTAAGGCGAGAGGAGAACAAGGAGGAGGAGGCTGACCAAGAACCTGCTGAAGGAGCGGAACGAAGTACGGTCGTGGCCGTGCAGCAACTCTCGAACCAGCAGAGACACCAGCGGCAGCAGCAGCACCTCGAGAAGCAACAGCACCTCCAGCACCAGGGTCCGCAGCACCTCCAGCAGCACCGCCAGCAGCAGCAGCACCTCCAGCAGCACCGCCTGCAGCAGCAGTACCTCCAGCAGCACCGCCAGCAGAAGCAGTACCTCCAGCAGCACCGCCAGCAGCAGCTGCACCTCCAGCACCAGGGTCCGTAGCACCCACAGCAGCTCCAACGCCCGGGTCCTCAGTACTAGCAGCACCTCCAGCAGCACCGCCAGCAGCAGCAGCACCTCCAGCAGCACCGCCAGCAGCAGCAGCACCTCCAGCACCAGGGTCCGTAGCACCCGCAGCAGCGTCAACTCCGGGGACCCCAGCACCAGCAGCTCCACTACGGAGACTGATGTGCCGAGCGTACCACTCTCGAAGCTGAGGGGAAGAGGGCGGCTCCTGCCGTGGTGGGGAAACACGAGTACCAACTCCAGCAGCACCACGAGCCCGAGACTCACCCTGCCGGAGGCTGCAGTACCGTGAGTACCACTCACGCAGCTGCTGCGAAGAGGGAGGTCCTCCAGGCGCCTCACAGTCAACTGCAACACCACCAGGCTCAGCACCCCCAGG